ATCCGTCTTCATCTAATACTAAATCATCATCATCATCATCAGGTGCCTTGCATACTGGAGTGGGCGATCATGCCTCTCCATAATCTGCGATCTCCTGCAGCATGTATCAGTTCGTGTGCTGACACACCTCTATGCCATGCAACAAGACTGTCAAGCATCTTCCTCTATCTCTCCTTGCACAGATCTTTCCAGTGGTCACAACATGTTCTATTTTCCCTCTTCTCATAACATTGCCGAAAAATGATGACTGTCTCCTTCTGATGTCTGTGATACGTTGTCTTCGGGCTCCCACCTCTTTCAAAACCTCTTGGCTGCTCTTTTTGGCTGTCCAAGGTATTCTAAGCATTCTTCTGTAAAACCACATCTCCGAGGCCTCCAGAAATTTTTTGGCTGGCCTACCGATTGTCCAGAATTCACAGCCATATGTTAAAACAGGATGTATGTAGCAAGCAAGAATTCTTTTTCTAACTTTCAATGACAAGGATATATTGCACAAGATGTTTTTCATTTTATAAAATGCAGTTTTTGCTTGTCCTATTATATTGCTTATCTCAGTTATGCATCTTCCATCTGATGTTATCCATGTGCCCAGATACTTTAATTTCTGTACTTGTCCTAAAATAACACAATCAACTTTTATTACACACTTAGGAATAATTCTTTTCTTTCTTACCACCATTACTTCTGTCTTCTCATTATTCAAACTGAGGCCCATTCTTCCACTTTCTAACACCACAATGTCTATAATTTCCTGTAGTTCTTTCTGACTAATACTACAGACATTCATTAACTGGTGCCTGCGCAGAATAGCGGGAATTAAATGGTATGAAAGAATCACTAATGTAGAGCTTTATGAGAGAATTAAGCAAGCTCCAGTGGACTAAGAGGTTGGGAAAAGACGCTGGCGTTAGATAGGACACACACTGAGAAAGCCGGAGAACAATACAACTAGAATGTCTTTGAAGTGGAACCCACAGAGGCATAGGAAGAAAGGAAGGCCAAACAACACGTAAACAAGGGAGCTAGAGAACGAAGTTAGAAAGATAGGGAGGACATGGCGAGAGCTGTATGCGATAGAAAAGGATAGAACGACTAGGCGTGAGTTGGTTGAGGCCCTATGCTCAGTTGGGAGCTAGAAAGGCAGAAGAAGAAGAAAACAATCTGATTCAGAAGAAGAAGAAAACGGCTTGACTGTACAGGGTTTCTCATTTTGCATTTACTGAAAAAATAAACTCGTTTTTATCTCCTTCACAAACTTTAAACCTCACTTTCTAGCTCCCTTCCACGTTTATTTTCTAAATTGTATTTCTATACACCTGCAGGTTCCATTGTTATGACACATTAGTGATACTGTTCTCGAGCGTGTTCTTTTTTTTTTTTTTTCATTGTGTGTTCTATCCAATGCCAAAGTAGTTTCTTCACAAAGTTCACCCTCAATGATTCTATAATACCATTAGGTTTTTAGGTTTTGTAGCTATTGTGTGGCGTTTGTGTGTGTGTGTGTGTGTGTGTGTGTGTGTGTGTGTGTGTGCAGCTACTCCTTACCCAAGAATACCTAAGTCGCTTCCTAAAACACGGTTAGGTGCAGTGTTACTATTTGTTCGCCTCACTTTATAATTTGCTCGTATTAAATATGATAACTACTCAAAGTTCTTCAGACATAAATATAAACAAATGATGCGTCGTCTTCACAATTATGCAGCTTCCCCTAGCTGCTGTATTTGAAAATATACTTGGTGAGGTTTTAATTTCTTCTACGGTATGACTCTCTTAGTAGTGTCCGATAAAGACGAAAACGGTTTAAAACAGAAATTAATAAATAAATCATCACAAATCAAAACCTAGTACTTAAGATTTCTGAGCTTGTCAAACGCATCCACTAGCCCCTGAGCAAAAGAACTGTCGGCAAGCAAACACAATTTCTGAACAACCAAGCGGCTCAGATATTAAATGACTAATGGTACCCTCTTTCGGCACGAGATTCCCAGCTGCTATGACAAAGATTTCTTTCGGATATTTCACTAAGAACGCTACTTACAGATAAGTGATTCTGTTTTTTTTTTTTTTTTTCAGTTGTATCATTTCCTGTTTGTCTCATGCTGCTGAAATCTTCGAGCCGCAACGTCAATGTGTGGTTCCTCACTGTGGACATGTGAAGCTACTTTCTTTAGGTATTGACATCTTTTCATAATTAACCGGCTGACACCATTCTTTATCTTCACCATATCATACTAATAACTGAACAACTATCTACCAATATTTCCCCAACATTGACCCTATTCTGGATACCATCAGATTTAGACATATTGTAAAACTAATTAATAGTTCCCTTGTTTCATTTTGCCTCGTCCGTCTCCCACTTTTCCCTTTCTGTCACTCACTTCTCATTAACACGGAAGTTGTCGTTTGTGGAAGACTATGACTAACGATTTTCCAAAGGTTTCATGTTCAGTACTTGAAGAAATAGTTCTGCCCTAATTAACCTAATAATATTCACCCA